GATGGCTCTTGGGGTCTCTTCCAACTCTAGGAATCTATGATTCTATGATTCTAACTTGGGAGGGATACAATTATGTCATGTTTCTGGACCCCTCATTGAGTTAACTTTCTGGTTCAAAAAAGGCCTCTCTCAAGTCTAAGACATAGCAGAAGTTTAAGTCTAAGACGTCGAAGAAGGATATGGCAAAACTGTCACATTCTGAATGGGGGGAAAGCTAGGGAGAAGGGCTAATGGCCTTGGTGGACCACAGACTGAGTTCCTTTCAATTCTACATTAAGCATACCCTCCAAGTGTCCCAATTTGGCAGGGACAGTCCCGATTAATCCTCCATCTTCCCACTTTTTCAGTTGCTTTGTGAAATGTGCCCAGGTTCTCTGTTCTTCTCTCACTTTCATTCTTGGTTCTCAGCTTATTTCAATTGCTGCAAAGTGAGTTTAAAGTACAAATGATGTTTGTGCTCAATTAACTCCTTCCCAGTAGGCTGAGGCAAAACCAAACTGCTGCACCTTCTCCTAGATTGTGCATTCTTCCCCATTGATAACTTTTGCCATTTTGACTCCACTGTGATGTTGCTTGGCCACACATGTCCCATTGGCGAAACGTCAGAAGGTATGCATTAATTTCATGGCTTTAATAAAGATCACTGAAGGCCAAACAAAACCTGTCAGCCTCTATCATTAGAGCTAAGATCACTTGGTTTGGTCCACTGATTCATTGTTGGACTTTCTTTGCTTGCTGTTTGGTGTTTTTCATCTCAAGATGAAAAACTCACCTTCCTTGCTTCTCTTTCAGAGTCTGCATCCAGCTGGCTATAGAGGCAGCTCTAGAACAGAGATTCTTAATTTTAACTATATGTTGTGTTTGTCTATTCTAAACACATTGCACATAAATGTGTGTTGAACATTGCTTGAAATGCGTTTTTAATAGCAGACTTATTGGACATTCAATACTAAGTGAATGTCAAAACCATGTAACAGATGTATATCTATTATACAGTGGTTAATTGTAAACAGACATGCCTTTTAACTAATTATCTCTTATTTAATGAACACATAATAACTAATAAAACTTGGAACAGAAGTATTTAATTGCAGCACTGTCAGCCTGCTAATTAAAAATATTTGTGAAGCTTAAATAGTAATCTGTTTTAGGCCTTTTATGCCTCTGTATCTTGGGGGCATTTTTTATTTAAATCAGTTTGAGACAAACATTGGGTCATTTTTATGGATAGTACTGTAGACATGTTAACTGCATTGGTTAAAATAAGGCAAAAAACAAATAGGTGCTGTCATTCTCAGTGCTGAAAATGGTCTCTGGATTGCTGGCTTACAATAGTAAAGGATCAGAGAAAGCAACACAAAACAGTTTTGACCCTTTCCTATCTGTTGTATAAGAAAGTGTGCTTTTTCTTTTTTAATTCACTTAACTCTTAGGCCACATATGCAGTTGGTTCCTGTTCTCTTGGGCAACTACTGCATAAACCAAAAGGGTTTGACTAACATTCATGTCAATGCCACCTAGGATCCTGGCATGTTGCTCACAAACAAGCTCCAATTCATAAATGAAGAACAAATTTGGTTATGATCTTGACTTGCAAATAAAGCAATAACTCAGATTTGCTGGTCTGAGTGACACAATAAAAATCTTTTCTAGTTTGTTTATAGGTTACATTAATGTGAAGGAGGAAAGTAGGAGCAAACAGCCTTCATTCTCCAAAATTCTGCTTTATCCCTTCATGCAAATGAAAGTAAAATCTACCATACTCTCTGACTGTTCTGATTTGGCAGGGACTGTCCCAAGGAATGCTTTTTCATCCCACTTTTTCATCTGCTTGTAAAATCTTCTAATTTCACCCTCCTTCTCCCCTTTGTCTTCAGCTTACTTCAATGGCTACAAACCAAGTTCAACATGAAAAGGTCTGCATAAGATCCCTGCCCCATACCCAACAGGGGTGAACTCCATCCTTTCTTTGCAGTTGTGGCAGCAGAATTACTGTACTTCGCCATGCAGAGAAGGCAAATTTGGTCAAGAGTTGTGTGATACTCAACCCTGGTCTAAAGAAGCAACAGCCCACTTCTCTTTTTATTGGGGGTATGCTTGTCCAGTGATCGAGGATAAGCAGAATAGTTACAGAGCCAATAGTACAGCTGAATGAGCTATGAAATGAAAAACTGGCATCACTTTCAGATAACCACATGGACAAGCACTGAATGGCTTTTCTTCCTCCAGTGGGTAGCAACAGGGTTCCCAAAATCTGAATGCCTTGACTTTTGGCAAAGTATAGCTCCATGCTCCAAACTTATGTGAAAAAGTGAAGATCCAACAAAAGGATCCCATGGCGTTGGTGTTGTTGTGCGCCTTCATGTCATTTCCAACTTATGACAACCCTAAAGGGAACTTATCATGGGGTCCTCTTGGCATGTTTTTTTCACAGGGGGTTTGCTCTGAGGCTGAGAGAATGTGACTTGCCCAAGGTTACCAAGCAGGTTTACATGGCTGAGCTGGGATTCCAAACCAGGGTCTCTCCAGGGTCGTGGTCCAATGTTCAAACCACTGTGCCATGGAGCTCTCTAAAAGAATCTTATACCCTCCAATATTTCACAGATGAAACATCAGAATGTGGTCAAGATAGCAAAGATATTAATGAGGAATAACCCACAAGCTAGGAGAGGCTGCAACAGTTTGCTTTTCCTTTAGTTTTCAGGAAAAGGCAAGATTGTTCCCCCTCTACCTATCCTCTCCCTCTGCTGAGTTAACTGAGTATAAACTATTTTGCACATCTGCAGCAACTGAAATATGCTGAGGACATGGAGCAAAGTAGGAGGAAGAGAGAAAAACTGGGATATTTCAAAAGCATATGAAAAAGTGGGATGATATTGGATTGAGACTATCATTGTAAAATTGGAGAATATGGGGCCTTGAATACAGACTGAGACACTTGCCAGAATGAAAGGCAGTAGTGATTATCTTTTGCCATAATATATGCAAGCGGTTTCATCTTTGCACGTAAACAGATCCATTTTTCAGTCCCGTAATCAGTATGCATCTATTAAGCTAGTTAACAGCAATGAGCTGTGGTTCATTAGGCAGCTACTGTTGTGTCCCCGTCTTGTTAAAATTTCACAGCAAGTTAATCTATTTTATTACAAATGAGAACGCAAGCAATAATGTCCCCACCATTTTCCAAACACAGGGTTAAC